TCAAAAAATAATGAACTTTTTCATTGGCACTTTCCAGGCACTTCATGATGTTTTTAAATGTTGTGCCCGATGTTTCGTTTTTGAGAAACCATCATTAATTTTGTCTGTATACAAGTTGTTTCTTAATGATATGTGAATCTAAATGAAAAATTAACTTTGCTTTATAAACTATGATCCAAAAATGTTTCCTTACAAAAACTCGGAGTGTTGAAGTCTTAATTAATATTTGCAGAACCGCTTCAGAAATTTCAATGATATTTAGTAAGTAGTGAAAGTTAATAAAGTTGCATATTTTTCAATGTAAAAATAATTTTTAGCTTTAACAGTGGCGTGCGTACGAGTATTGACTTTGAAATGTGTTGAAGAAAAAAATGATATGCCAATGGTTTTTTCCCAAATAAAAATTATTTTTGAATTCCCCGTTCAATTTAAAATAAATGATCTCTCTTGAATTGTATTCTTTCGAGGCACCATTTTTGAATAAATAAATAAAAACCGTTCTATTGTCCCAGAAAATTAATGTAATAATTGAAGAATGCAATTTAGCAATAAATATCTAGTTGCTCTGGAATATGTCACTGGCTTTTGGCATCTGACAAGTCTCTGTTATTCAAATCTGTTCGCTGTGACATCTTTTCATTATTTAGTTTTTACAATCTTGTTAATAATGGTGAATTATTCAAATGATGAAATGGCGGAAATGCATTACGTATATGGCCTTGCCGACGGTAATGGTGAGCAATACAAACCGATTTATCACCAGAAATATCCCGATCGTCTTTTGCCAGATTCGAACCTTTTCTAATATTCATCGTCGTCTTGTTGGAACTGGTTCTGTCGGAAAAGGAACATCTGAAGGTAGACCTCTAAGTGCGAGAACACCTGGTGGGGTTGCAGTCTTTGTAAACAACCACTACAACTCTTCCATAATTTCATTTGGGCGAGGCCCAAGTCTTGAATATACGATATATCGTATATGGTTGAAGGTGCAGTTTCCAAAACAAAAAATTGCTATTGGTATATTCTATCGGCCCCCACATAGCTCTGTTACAGAAGCCGGTAATGCCTTTGATAACATGTTGCCTGCCATATTAGCTGAATATGATAATATCATCCTTGCAGGGGATAACAATGTTAATTTGCTTTTAGTTTGTAACAACTTGACTAAATGTCTTGATTCTTATAATCTGAAACAGGTGATATCTGAACCGACTAGGATAACTGAATCGACACTCACTCTCTTAGATCCTATTTATTTGAGCAAGCCTGAAAGTTGTCTTAGGAGTGGCACTATTAATGCTGATATGATTACTGATCACTATTTAACCGTCTGTGATATACGTATTACACTTCCTAAAAATCAACAGAAATTTGTGACATTCAGGGATTTCCATAGTTTAAATGAAATAGCGTTTGAACAAGATCTCAAGAGTTTTCCATGGTGGCATATTATATCGATAGATGACATTGAAGATAAAATTAATTTTTTAACAGATAGTATTTTATGTTTATTTAATGTTCACTGTCCAAAAAAGGTAGTGCGTGTAAACAAAGCTCCAGCTCCTTGGTTGGATGATAATATTAAACTTGTATTCAAGCAGAGGGCTGAAGCTTTGTCAAAGTTCAAACGTAATAGTACAGCCGCCTCTTGGCAACAGAATACATATTTCAGAAATCTTGCATTAACGCTTGTGCAAAGAGGAAAAAGAGATTATTTACAAGCTGTTCAAAATCAGGATACAAAAAAGTTTTATAAGACCCTAAAGACTTTCAAAGTACAATCTCAGAAAGATTCTACAATTCCCGTGAGCTTGTCAGATCCGTATAAAATAAATGAGGCATTCATTTCAATTTTCGAGAATAGTGATTTGGCTTGTGCTGATAAAATTGCATATTACCGAGCTAATAAAAATAACTCAAAATTCAAATTTCAATTTAATAAAGTGACTATTGACACAGTTGTTAAAATTATACATAAAATAAAATCAAATTCTAGTGGTACAGATGAAATATCTTTGCATATGATACTACTATGTATACCTGAAATTGATGTGTACTTAACGCATATTATAAACTGCTGTTTAGAGAGGGGATATTTTCCCAATCAGTGGAAACGCGCTATAATTATTCCGCTACCTAAGTGTTCTGATCCTACTAACTATGGTCAACTGAGACCGATCAGTCTACTGCCAAGTATTGGAACGCGTTGTTTACGAGCAGCTCTGCGCCTACTTATATTGTAACAAAATTATTCCATCTAAACAATCTGGATTTCGACAAGGTCATAATACAGCTTCGGCACTCTGTGATTTAACAGACAATATAACAATGGCACTTGATAACCAAAAAGCAGTAGCTCTCATACTTCTTGACTTTACTAAAGCATTTGACACCATTAATCACTCACTTCTTGTATCTAAATACAGTTACTATGGACTTTCTGAAAAACCTCTTTCGTTTATTCAAACCTACCTTGAAAATCGGTATCAAAAAGTTCGTCTCAATCAACAGTACTCTACGGAACAAAAAATTTGTTCAGGTGTACCACAGGGATCAGTCTTAGGACCGCTATTATTTTCATTATACGTATATATCTCAGATTTAGAAACAGAGGTAAAATCATGCAGCATACAATTTTTTGCAGATGATACTCAAATTTTCCATTCATTTAGGAGTAATGACTTGGAAACGGCAAATAATAAAATTAATCAAGATCTTGCCCAAATTGAAAAGTTCAGTAGTAGTCATAATCTTCGTTTGAACCCTTTGAAGACAAATATGTTAGTATACGCAAATAGAACAAAAAAGAATACCTTAAAAAAGGTCATAGACATACATTTAAAAAGTAATAAATTAATTCCTGTGGATCATTCGAAAAACCTAGGTATCATAATGGATGATGACTTAAAATTTGTTGCACACGTGAACTATCTAATTACTCAGTGCTACGCTATTCTCAGTGTTTTATTTGCAAATAAGGCTATATTACATAAATCTGCGAGAAAGCAATTGTGTGAATATTTCGTATTTTCAAAGATATCGTATTGCTTAGTGGTTTACTATCCCTATTTAGATATTATAACAAGAAATCGTATTCAAAGTATTATGAATACATGTTGCAGGCTTGTAAATGATTTCAGAAAATATGATCATATATAGAATGCCATTTATGAACTCAAATGGATGAAAATTGATAAAATGTATAAGTACCAGCTCCTAAATCTGACTCATAAGGTTCTTTATTCAAAAACACCGTCATATTTAGTAAACAAATTCATACGTAGAGGGAATATGTATCGTATTAACATTAGATATAGAGAGACTTTTTCAATTCCTCACCACAGCACGTCTCTATTTCAGAATTCATACATTTACAATGCGATCAAATCATATAATTCTTTAGACCGCAGTTTAAAAGAAACCAATCCATTATCCAAATTCAAGAAAAAAGTGAAAGAAGTTCTTCTTGATCAGCAGCGAAATCGGTTGTAACCCTCATATTTTCCTTATGTATTTACTTGGATTATTCGTTATTGTATACAAGGTGCCTATTAATTTTCAACAAATTCTTGTTTTTTTTTTACATCTCGTATTGTTAAAGGGGTTAGATGGTAGAATAGATATATAATCTAAATCTCACCTCCTGTAAGAATATTACAAATAAAAGACGTTAATTAATTAATTAATATGATGAGCAATTTGTTGTGAATGTGACACCGAAAATGTAGACGATGTATCTTTAAATACTTCATAGTTATTTTTGACATGCGGATTAGACAAAGAATTCTGGCACAGGCATTGAAACAACCCCCCTAATTCTCTCGAAAATTTTCTACTGTGCAACCCCGATCATCAGCATATCAATGCTATACCAAGACATACTTGCTATGTATGTTTTGACACAGATGACGCATATCAAATTACCCAATAAAAACCGCTCCAAATCCCGTTAGCAATACAAACATGGATCAGCATAACAAAACCGGGTCTGACAAAAAGATCCACCCCCGTGGTTATATCGACACCGAAATCCCCGTTTGTCGTTTGTTATCTGTGCGTTGAGGGTAGGGAGGGGGCAGATAAGGACAGAGACAAGGGCGAAGGGCGAGTCTGGCAGCGAAGGGACCCACTAATTGTCCTAAAATTAACCCTGTCTCAACCCCGGGCGAATTAATAGCGGCTTGCCAGGCTCGTTAGAAAAATGTGACGCGCAGCTTTAAGCTCCATCACCGAATGCTGTGCGAGGAGGGGAGGCAACATTGGCGGAGGTATAATCAGTGTAAAGGTCTTTATGATTTGACGCCAAAAAAAATTCAGCCGAATACTCGGTCAGAAAAGAAAGACGATTCAAAAAATGTATGTACTCAATAATTTTTACGGCCACGTATTACTAAGACCAGTGGTGGGCGCATTGTATACACCATTGTATACGTGCATACAATGGTGAATAGAAACTTCTCGATATTTACGTAAACAATATATAAAATGTATATAATGTATACAATAGTAAATCATAGTTCAGCTACTTGCATATAGTGCTGGTGAAAGTCCCTTCCCTTTTAGATTTCCATGTGTACGAGGAGGAGAGAGAGGGGGACAGGCGGGCACCACTTGTGTAGAAAGAATGCGCCACACACCACGTTGCCTAGAACAACAATTTGCCACGCTCTTTTTTTTTAATTAGGATCACTTTTAAATTTTAAGCTAAAGTTATTTCTCTCAATTGAGGCAATGGATGATTAAAGAAAACTAGAAGGTTACTGAGGCTAAAGCCGTGGTTTAGCGTTGGCAAATTAGGCCCTATGCTCAGGTACACCGGAGAGTAGGGGGGTATTTTTTAGGGGGCCACCAGCTTTTATCCGCCAAAACTGGAAGACGCCTTGGTGTTGAAAGGCACTCTTTAGCCCAAAACCCCAAGATCACAAAAACAAAAATACATACAAACAATAGATTTTCTGTGTGGGTAAATAATTGCTAAAATTAACATCAATACATTTTATTACATCTACTAACGGCTAACAACAAAAATTTAAGCCAGCCAAACTAGGAGATCTCCCTTAATGCGAAAGCTTATTGACTAACTAATTTAAAATGGGCGAGGAAGGCTTCAAAACCGATGAGGTAAGAATCCCTATGGTGGAAAAAGGGTCTCTGTTCGGAAAGAGGTCCCCGGTAGAAAACGTGTCAATGGATCTCCAGTAGCGAAGATTCCCCCAAAATAAAAACCCTAGATGATGTCGGGTAGGGTTTTTTACGTGGTTCCGTCTGGGGAAAAGTGTGGCTGAAGACAATAAGATCCTACAAATTGTAGAATTTCTCGGGTCCAAGGGTAGACAAAAAAAAAGATGCTACGCACTCACAACAGGAATGACCCAGGAAATTATCTATGAAATTTTCTTCCACAATCCAACGAAGATGCCCCAGGCAAAAAAATGAAAAATGTCAGGTCTTCTGGCACTAGCTGAACAGAACAAGCTGGCCCTCCGATAGTGGAAGGCCACAACTTGCTGCAACACCTTGTTTTCTACGCTCAAATATACATTTCTGTCGAATCTGTTTGGGATTCATTCCAGATCGATCCTAATGGTTTTCCGATTTTTGGTGGAACTGAAAGTTCAGGATAGATACAAATTCTGCAACATTGCATTATTGGTTTGACTGTGGAAGTAGTTTATAAATAATGAAAAAATTTATAATATTTATTTATATACGTATACAAAGACACAGTTTTAAATAAATTAAGAACAACAAATGAACCCTTGTTTATCGATTTCTTTGTTCTTGGAGCGTCCAACCATATTTTTTTTTAAGTTGTCGGTCAACTGTTGACCAACTTTCTGACGTTTGCGAATAAACCTAACCTCACTTATGCTATTCTATACATTGTCTTCATCATTCTATACATTGTATTCATTGTATACAAATTGTATACATCGAGATATAGACAATTAAGGTATACGCGTAAACGACCATCACTGACTAAGACCTAAGATCCCGTAAGTACCGTGGGGCTCAGGGGGGATGTCAGACGGACTCTTTCGAGCGAACACGTGTGCATACGACATCTTAGAAGTCCATGCTCGGAAGTCAAAAACCGTCCACTACCCACCGACAACACAACATCCATAGACAAAAGAAGTGTTGCCAGATTCATTGCGAGAAATAATCGTAGAGGCACGTCGAAATTATCGCATACAGCGCTGTAGGTCGCATCCAGGTGATTTGCCGTCTTTGGAGGGGGGGGGGGGGTATACGCGGCTTCCCTTGTCTATCAAATCGTTTGATTTCTGATGTTGTTCTATAAACTCATGGGACATCTGAAACTACGGCATTTTGGGAATAGAAATAGAAAAACTCAGTTGACAACACACATTGACAGTGTGTGTAAAAAGTTGAATCACTCGTATCATGTAATTCCAAAGCTTAAGTTTTGCTTATAAGAGTCGTCTTTACTAGATGTGTATTATTGTCTCGTCCACTTACATTTATCAAGGATCATAAATTGGATTGAAAGTTCCATTTCTAGAGCACTTGTGGAACAGAAGACAACACTGTTCGGCATTTTGAAAATTGTTGTCGCTCTCCGATATTTTTTCCAGTTTTTTGCGTCTATTGTGTTGTACTGAAATCTAATATGCAGTCAGTTTCTCCCCATCACCCACAAGTTTCTAGAAAATGGAGAATATAAAATATGAACATTCCAAATTATAGCGATCTAGTAATGAATTTTCAAAAATAAAAAAAAATATAAATCCACTTTTTTATAAAATAAAAAACAATCAAACAATTTATTTGGTAGTTTTTTTTTCGCTTGTTTTCTCCAGGAGCGGTTTCGCGTTTATTAGTCCAGCACTAGTCCGCCAGCATGTTTAGGGTCCATAGGACTTCACCATATGAGCAATCTGCTCGTCTGAAACTGCACCTAAATTGTCAGGGATAAATTCTAAATGGGTGTGAACAAAATGCAGCTTAAGTGACATATTGCAACCTGAGGCCTTATAAGATTGGATACGTTCTTCAACTAGATCTTGTAGTTGTCCGACTTTTTGTTGCCTAGGAAGTTGCTTCATACATGTTTGAAGGCATCCCATGCCCTTTTTTCCTTTCTCCAAAGTGTAGTTTTGAAATGTCGGTCCTTAAAAAGTTCTCCTTTTGAGGTGTAACGAAAATTCCTTCTTTAAGCTTTGCTTTACTTACTTATATGCGAGAATTTTCGTATCAAATTAAGACATGCATTTCCTTCTCTATTTAAGGCTTTCACGAAAATTTGTATAAGCCCATTATGTGCACAGGAGGTAAATAAAAAACTGTCTGCTGATATAATAAGGGTTCATTAGGTCCATTTTTCTGGTCGGACACAATGTTCTCACGTAACGGCCCATGTTTAACTAAATAATGTTAGAATAAAGAAATACAATATTTTGTGAAACCACTCTAGTCCTGTTAACAATGCAATAAGTTTGAGATCGGCACAGATATTCCACTTATGGTCTTCGTATTTTATGCTTTGGAGTAAAATGCGCATGTTCTGGTATGTTTCTTCCATATTTACAGCATGGCCAAGCGGAACTGATGGCCGTTCGTTTCCATTGAGCTACAAACTTGCCTTTAGAGCCAAGTTCACCAACATTAATATTTGAAGGTCAGTTGGACCAATAGGAAAAGACCTTATCGAAATGCAATTTGACGAAAGCTGTCAAAGCTCTCTGAATATCAGTGATTTCTACTAAAATGTTGAATAAAGTCGTGAAAAAAAGGTTGCCTTATAAATAAGGGTACACATTATAGATGTAATATTATGTATTTGTGCTTTATAATTAAGATAAATTTCAAAGAATTTAAAATTTTTATCATTTCACAAAAGACGGTCAGTTATTTAAATGGACCGATGAAAATGAGAGAAATAATAGGTCCATTTTCTAGCTATTATATTTGGTAGGATGTTTTCACTGTTTTTGACGACTGTTTATGCATGGTAATCTTGTTTTGTCTGTATTTTACGTACAGGGTGTTGTACATAATACGTACCTGTAGAAATGTACCGATTTTTGTTATTTTGCAAAAAAGGATATAAAACTAGTTCATCATCTTTTGTTACATCAAAAACGTTTTTTGCCAATTTATGATCTAGAAATCCACACCAAATGTAAACAAGCAGCACATTCTGCATTTCTGGGTAAATATCGGTAAATAGTGTCGCTGAATTCGGTATAATGCCGTCCCAAGATCAGTGGTAGGTCAAGGACCTTTGAGTCATGGAAAACGTCTGTTATTGTATTGGGCGCGCACACAACATGTTTTTTGAGGGCACAGTTCTATAATACAACTTCTACAATGTGCATACTGGTCGCTCTTTCAAAGTACTTTGCAACCATTCTGGAAACTCCTTTTTCGATTCTTGCTTATAGGATTGAAAATATTTTTCTGTTTTACCCCTGAACTCATGAACTCACCTCTCATTTTAATTAAATACTTATTTTGAAAACAGACAGGTTTCGGTTTCTTTATTGCTTGTCGAGTAATGGGGTAATTACGGTAATCTACCAGTCGGTACCTTTTGTATGCACAAAAATCAATTCAGGGCAAGCGGAGCAAGGGATGAGGATGTGCGTTCGTAATGATAGGCAACCCAAAACTACGCCTCTCGTGTGCCTGATTGCCCGAGTGTGTATGCATATGTATGATTGATATGAGGCATAAAACTATGAAGACTACATAAAATTAACTTTTAGCTTTATTTTTGGTTTCAGCACTTTTTCGGCAAGTATAGACGTTTTTAATTATTTTGAAAAATCGTGGAGAATGATGTTATCGGTAAATATTCTTTTTTCGGAAAAAATCCGGTTCAAGTCCATGCATAGACAATCTGAAATTTGCAATATGAATTTATACTCTAAATTCTTTGCATATCCGTTCATATTCGTCAATATTTCATTTAAAGCTTTTATTTGTCATAAGATTTTAGCAAAATGTAAGATAGTAAAGGCAACACCGCACCCTGCAGTCCAGTTTACAAGAACGACAAGCTATCAAGATTAGGCATGTTTAGATGCTAGAAAAGTATCGATATGTATCGATTCTTATCGTTTTAGGAAGTATCGACACTCTAAAATATTGGAAGAAAGTTATCGATAGCCAGCGGAGGGAAACAAAGAAGAAAGGAAATATTTGACCTTATGGTTGTATGGATATCAAAAATCCTGAATGGTATTGTGGGAATATCAATCGACGGTGCTATAATGGTACTGATGAACGGCAAGCAAATAAATGAATGTTTGGAAACGAGCAATATCTATGAAAGTTTTGGTAGAGCCTGTCATCAAGTAGGTGCTTAATGGCTATCTGCAAGAGGTTTATAGGAAAAAACACACGGTAGGCGATGTTAAATCAGTAAAATCGCATATCAATTGAAGAAAATAATATAAACATGAATAAGCTATGGACAATATTAAATAAATCATGAATTTTATTCAAAAATCGAACACTTTTTTAAATTTTGACTAAATTATATGTAATTACTTAATATTCAATAAGCTGGTGATGTTTCAATGACAAGCTGTCATCTCATACTTTGACAGTATTTTGTTTTCAACATTTCATAGCTATTGGTTGCTAAAATTTGTTGATTGGAACTTGAGGCTCATTCGCTGTATTTGACGGACTGTTACCCTATACCTAGGTGGAGAATAACGGACTGTTGATTTGACAATCCTGCTGAAATCCACCCTTAGACTTGTGTTCGAAGAGTCAATACATAGTCGCCACTTGGTGGGTACATAGGAAATGCCAAGTTCATTCAGTAAACCTGAAATGACAGTAAACTAAGTCACTTTCCATCGTGAAGAATACGGCCAGCATATACATGGAAATTTTCACACCTGTTTACGCATTGTTGGTTGCATATGTTTTGTTAGGCCGAGTAGTCTATAGTTTTCATCCCTGAGAAGAAAGTTGGTTGAATAGCAAGATCGCATCGCAAAAGAAAAGGCAAAAACTGGGTATTCCATTTGAATGTTTTGAAAAATAGCTATATTATGTCAAATGGCTTCGTTTAATAGAGCTCATCCAAGTCTATAATAAAATAAAGAGCTTTCCTTGCAAAAAAATTATTTTTAAGTCACCACGTAGTTACGAATCGCCCTGTAGACATAACAATATTTTCCAAGTGGAGAGGATACTGTTATAGACTGAGCCCACACTAAAAACTCACCCTGTATATACTTTGAAAAGCTCAGTGTCCCATAGATGGTGCTGTAGCGTATAAGACACTAACCTTTTCAAAGTATATATAGACAGTAAAACAGCTGTGACAAATTTTCATAGATAACGGTACGGTATCTCATTTTATATCTAGGATATTTTTTAGATGCAAAAATATAGCATTAGGTTGGCTATTTTTGGGTTATCAATGCATTAACGTACTAAGAATACAATAGCGGTTTAATTTCCTTATTTTTTTTATCTGGCACTGCCCTTCCTACCCTTAGCTTTCCGAAGTGGCAGAAATAAGCACCCCTAGCAGCTCCTCATCCCCCAAAAGGCAGTAAACTTAATCTCGAGACGGACGCAGATGGTGTCTTCGGCAAGCGCAGCGCAGGATTGTCTGCCGCCTCCGCTATAAAAGTTATTCAATATAAAAACTGAAGCGGACGGTATTAAGACGCATTTGTTCATCAATTTGTACAGCCGCGCAACACAGCAATCTTATGCCTCGAATAGAGCACAGTCGCTATGC